AATTCTAGCTTTTTTGTTGAAACATATTTGTTCTGCGCATTTGCCTAAAATTGGCAGCCAATTAAATTGCATTCCATATTTAGCCGTGTAAAAGATTAGCACAAAAAAACAAAAATAATAACCATTACTTAATTAATCGATTTTAAACAGCATTCAAGGATGTATAGGTGTTTTTTTTTCGCCTTATCCCATACTAAAATATATAGGGTCGTTTGTTCGTATCTATATTGTATGACGAAAAAAAGTACACAATAGTCATTACCACCAAGACGACCAAGTGAAATACTATAATCCTAATCGATAGATATTCATTTTAAAGTATTTCAACTATTTTTACTTTCAAAAATAAAATTAAGAAAACTCTAAAATGTCTAAACACAGATTTACACACTAATCCAACAATAAACAAAGATCATAACATTTGAATTTCTGATATATAAATATATATTTTTTTTAATTTTATGATTATGCTTTGGTTGATACCAGGTCGGAAAAGATCATTTTTTAAATACCTATAAATTTAGGCTAAACATTTCAAACCACCATAAGCCCCTCTTGATCGCCTACAAAAAGCTATGATACTGCTTTCTATCTGGATCAGCTGAATGGTACATTGTAAAACTGCACTTACTTAAAAGAGGACATAGGTTTTTTTTTAATACTAATGCTACATTATTATTTCGAACCAAGTGCAGTTTTTCTGAAATCGGTGTTTTAAGTGTGTATTTTCGAAATTTTACCACGACCTTAAGATTTACATATGAATTGGGGAAAACATATTTTTTGTCGTTGGAAATATTCGTTTTTGTCATTGCCATAGTATTGTGTATTATTTGCTACATGATGATATCGATTCAGCGGTTTAAAATATAACTTAGACACAAAAAAATAACATAAAAGTTGAACTAGGTACATTATTGTACAAACAAAGCCTTCTCAGCTCTGTATCAAAGCTAAAACGGGTTTTTTTAACTAAACAAATCGAGACAGATAAAATTTTATTTGCTGTAGCAAAATATTATGTAATAATAATTAAGGAAAACGTATTTTTTTTTTCAATTAAAATTTCTATGTTACCATGTCCGACGATGTGTAACATTATAATAATAATTGTAATAAATATAATATTTATTACCACAATGATATTTTGTACTGATATAAATAAAAAATATTGACTATAAAATCGTGTAACAATTAAAAATATATATGAAATTAATTATTCGATTAAAGTTATTTTCAAAGTCAGACTGTCCTTTAGTGTTGCAAACCAGGTTCTTATCTTATGATTGTATGAAATTTATTACGTATATAAACAATTTAATATACAGGTGTCCCATTTTAAAATACTCCAAAAATACTAATCCAATCAAAAAGTTGTTTATTACAGACTTATAGAGTACAAAGAGGGACGTTAAAAAAAAATATGGTCCAAAATTCAAAATGGTCGACTTGGAAACCATGTATTTTTTGTTAAACAAACAAATGTTCTTATCAAAACTAACAACTTTTGTAGGAAAAAACCCATAATTTGTAAATTACACAAGTCTCTTTAGCTATTTTAAGTTTTGTTATTTTATTTTGATGCATATGGTAACCGTGTCGTGTGGAGTAACGTTGGTATGTGTGGTAACCATGGTGTTTTTAGCAACCTTGGCATGTGAGGTAATCATGGTATGTGTGGTAACCAGGCTTTTTGTCTATGTGATACACAGAAAAGAGGATAACAGTTACGATTAAGATAATGATAATGTAATGGTAATACTAATGATGATGTTAAAGACTAAGACAAAAACGAAAACAGCATTTTTATTTTGAATCTACGAGTATTCATCAGATGTCTTGTTTAACTATTATCAAACACACAACACATACCACATGCCATAGTTAATTATGTTAATTGTTCATTTTTGTTTTGCAAAAATTTGCATTTGTATAATATTCATCGTTTAGTACCTATTTTAATGTGTGTTTTTTTTTCTTTCCTTAGTACGAGCATTGATTAAATATCAACGAAACATACAGAATTCGGATTTCATGGTACAATACAATGTATGACGTTATTAATGTCAAATGTGTATTATTTCTATGTACACATAATACACTATAATGCTGTATAGCGTCAGGTAGTACATATTACATATAGGTTATCATTATTACTAGTACTCATTACTTTTTTCCTCCCGCCCAAAAGATGATAAAATATAATCAAGTTATGACGAAATACAAATTGGTCGAGTGGATTTTGCGCTATTAATACCCGCGAATCAAGTAATACGGGACCGGTGACATCACAGTTAAAACAAAATTGCCACTTGGACAATACCAGATCAACACGAAAAACCAGTTGGGTAAAATTGTTTTTTTTCCTTAAGGTTAATCAACTTTTGTACTTGACACGCCTGCGTGTACAATAGGAACCAGATACTGGTTTACAATAGCAGCTAATGCTATCAAGTGCAAGGACTTGGCCGTTGAAGTTCAGTTGTTGAATTTACATATAATATAGTATAATAAAAATACTTACCCATTTGGTTTGGTTTACGACCAATTAAAATATACAAACCAAACTGATCACTTTGAATTTTTTCTGCAAATCCTAATCCGGTCGTTTTTTTTTTTTAATTTTTTTTATTGTTTCTTCTTTGCACGCCGTGTGAAGGGAAAGCACAACAGCTTATGTATTTTCTGAAGTTTTTTTTTTTATAATTCAATGGTGACTCTGGGTCAGCTCTGGCTTCAAAGTTATTGACTTGTAAGAAATGTAATAATACCATAAAAAATATCCATAAACATTGTACAACAATGGTCTACTACAATATGCAAAAACAGTGGATTTAAATATATTTTCTCTTTTGAATTATCATTATTGAAAACCTAACCTATGAAAATTATTAAAAACTATTTTAAATGAATTAAATACAAAATTTATCATTCAAATTTCATAAAAGACAAAGAAAAAAAGGAATTAACTACAAAAATAATTTGTTGTAAAAAAAAAAAAAAAACGTATCATCTTCCTAACCTTAAACAATTTTTTTTTAAAAATACCTATTCAGATTTACTTATCATCTCGACACGAAGTTAAGAAAAAGTTTCAACTCCTCCGGGGTGATGTTATTTGGTTTTTACTATAGTGTGGTAAGGTTATGTCTAAAAAATACAAAAACAAATTAACCTTTTTGGAAACAAAATACATTTTCAATAATTTTTGTCAGTATTTCTTTTGTCAATATTGTTTTAATAGGAATGCTAAACATCAAACAATAGGACATGGTGTTTAATTTTAAATAATATATATATTTTTTTTATGGAATAAGTATTAACTCACCAATGCAATACCCCAAACGAGGGATGAATTGTTAATTTTAGTTTGAAACTAAAAAACCTATTTTCATTTCTAGAAATAAAAATATGCTGAAAAAACAGATGCCAAAAAATTAGGGTTTTCTGCATAAGGTTTGTTGTGGTGACTGTCACCACAGTGTTGCCAATGTAGACAATTAAAAAGACGCGTCGACCGATTAACGCACGCCCGTGGCCGCCATGTTGGAAAAAAAAGGCGTCCATTTTGTCATATGTTTACCGGTATGATAACATTACTATACATTAGCTGTGTACAGATAATATCATTTTAGGATAAATGAGCAGATGATTCAATCTATTCTGTAATCTCCAAACTGACAGGATTTTTTATTTAAATTCAAACAGAGGCAATATGCGTTTTCCAAAGAATATTTTCAACGGCTACTATCCAATAATTCAGGTAAACTACATATTTTGGAAAACCTAATAACTGATATTTTAAAATCCATTAAATTTTGATCCGACAGCGTTCGATTTTCATAAATTTTTTCACAATCAAAACAAAGTGGGAAAATGATAGATTTATATTCTCAAAACGAATAATTTCGCTTAACATATTTAATCGAATCTGGATGTTGATTTTAGCATTCATACGTATAGGATTCGGCTACACGATTAAGTATTACATTTGTAACATTTCTGGTTATTTTATTTGTATAAAAAAAAACTCATATTCCTTTTGTCAGATTGCTTGCCTAGCCGACTGACATTGCTAGAATAATATTTAAAATTTAGACTTCAATAGAAATGATATAACAAAAGAAGTAATTAACAAAAAAATATATTAATTTTTATCAAAGTATTTTACCGTTACTGCTTCGTATGAAGTTGTTAATGAATTTTTATGAAATTTTAAGCGAAAATTAAAAAAAAGAAAAACTAGTTTTAATCATTACAACTTAAAAATATATGAAATTTCATAATTATTTTGATAAATTTGATTTCTTCGGTTCAGGTCTTTAAGAAAAAAAAATGTTTTCCATGATATTAATGTAGGTATATTTAAAATATTTGTAATTGTATTTTTATATTATTTTTCAAATATACATGGTATTATTTTTAGTATGACTGATATTTTATTATTACTGTTTGTTTTTCCATCTCGTTCATTTTGTTATAATTTTTTTTTTTGCATGATTTCCTATACGTTTTGTATTTATTTATTCGTACTTTTCGGGCAGTTTAAGTAGAAATAAATTAGATAAATTTGAATCTATTTCGAAACGTTAAAAATGAATGCATACTTTTATTTTTGGGAAAAAAGTTGTTATAAAAAAAGAATTTGTTTAAGTTAGCTAATCGAATATAATATGCTATAAAAAATATGTTTTTAGTAGTAAACACTAAACCTAAGTAAGCACACCGATTACTTACTTAAAAATATCAATTTTAGAACAAAAAAAAATGTTAAAGTTGACTAATTTTTTTTTTTTTTACTTAGTAAACCATGTTTTTTTATCAAAGATAACTGTACAAAAAGGATAATTAATAATAATAATAATACCAAAATTAATAAAATAAATATTTTTTTATTTCTACGTTTTCTATTGCAGTTAAATGTAATTATTTTTTTTTCAAAATGTCTGTCACAAACGAATGAATACAAATATAAAATTTAATTTACACCGCATAATTTAGTTATACAATTTTCACAGAAAACAAACAGCCAATTATGATAATAATAATAATAATAATTAAATATATTTATAAATGTACAAGGAAATTGTGCCTATATAATTTATAATATTTCTTCTCTGGTCACATTGCACGTGATGTTATAATATATGAATATATATATATATATATATATATATATATATACAACATTTTTTTTTTACCGATTCAGTACACATTTATTGTGTGTTGTTCTATAAAATAAAATAAAAAAACGGATTTTCAAATGAAATCGTTATTTTTTTTTCTTTTTAATAAATTTATCGGTAAATCTGAAGACGAAAAAAAAAATTTGAGACTTTCAGAAAGTGGCTTTGACCTTCTCCAGACGATTACACATTTGATTGACGTCACCGCGTCCCATTTCTTTGCACTTTGACGAACACTCTCCTATCCAGCTCGCCTCGCCGCTTCTATGAGACTACAAAACAAACAAAACATGAAACCGTGACAGCAATGATAAGTTTTTAATTAACTAGGCAATGATTGATCACAATGTATTACCTCTTCAAGATCACGTTTCCAGACGTTGCGACAGTGTCCCGCACAAATGGGACAAGGCCTTTCCAACGAGTAACCCCCGCACTCTAAACAGTCTAACGACACGTGGTGTTGCTCCCAGTTCACTCCGCATCTAAACAATAAAACAATTTGATTAATTAAAACATTTACAACTTTTTACGCTTGGCGAAAACGTCTAAATGTCTAAACTTTTAACCGTGGATACGTTATCATATCTCTTATCTCTTATCGCCTATCTCTTATCTCTAATTTCTTATCTCTTATCGCTAACTAAAAGTAAAAGCGTAGCGCGGGAATGGCGACATGAAATTTCTCGAATCCTAGCCCAACGACATAATAATATTGTTCATGTTAAAAAACAAAATTCTACACACCAATGGTGAGAAGATTGATATCTTTTGTCTTAACTTTGATATAAGACAATTTTACAGTCCGAACCAGTACAAATTCGAACCAACAGAGTGCGAACCAAGTGCAGCGTAAATCGGCACGGCAGAAGTTGAATCCAAGCAGTTGGATTAAAATATTTGAAAGTGATGATTTCATGACGAGTCAATGCGAATCTGCGAATAGTGTTGGAATCCAGCACAGTATAAACGAACACGGTTCAAATTAAGTTCAAGGAAAATGTCACCTCAGTTTGTAAATTTTTCAAATTGAAAACCACAACATTAAATCGTTTCCTATTGTAATATTATAATATATTTAGTTATAGTTACAATATTAGCTTCAAAACGAATTACAAAATATAATACTTGAGTTGTTATTATAATTTATAGGTATTTAATTTAATTACGATTTTTTTTAGTTGTCTATTTTGTTGACCTCGTGCTGATGATAATAATAATAAAAATTGTACACATTAACAAATGTTGAAATAAAAAAGCTATTGACCTAGCCGTCGACAACAACAGCAATAAACAAACCCATCCACTGGCCTTTGTTCCAGAGCCTTGTTATTATTATATCAACAAATGAATGTACATTAATTTAATCGTTTTATTGTATTACATTTTTCCCCCATTAATTATCTAATATTATAATAACAATAATACATAATATTAGGTAATTAATCGATAAACCGATTAATGTTGGCATAAGTAGTTCAATTGATGTGTACATGTAATTAAAAAAAATAGAGATTATTTAAGAGTAGGTTAGTAAGGTTAATTAGTATTTCTCATACATAGTTATTGTTACATATTGTATTGTATGTTCCAAAGTATATTTATTTATTTAGTATATTGTGTAGTCACGTGACGAACGAGTGATGAGTGATAAGACGTGTCAAGTGTATGAGTCGTACAAGCGTTTAATAAAGATAACAATATATTTTGTAATTGTAGTAGAACAATTATTTAAAAAGACTGTACTCGATTCACGTTTTATATCATAATAAAACTGTATCGTAGCACTTGTCGTTTAAAAAAGGCAAACCCCTCTTAGCGTCTCCTAATAAGCATATTGAGAATTCACTAAAAGCACAACTCTCAGTTATAAGGTATGTTATACTATTGTGTGCAGTTGGGAATGATTCAACGGGACGGGACAGTGATAAGTGGGTGTATAAGGATAAGGGAAAATCGACAATTCGGGGATAACCGATAAGAGATTATCAGATAAGAGAATCAGCTGATAAGACATTGACAGATAATCATAGATAATAAACACATGAATAGGACATTTTGAGGCTCATATTGTAGTTTCGCGGTCCTGGACTGATTGGAAAGCTTGGTGTTAGGTTAGGAGTTCCGTTATACATACATTTAGTACATTTTTAAATTATCACATAAAATAAAAACGTAAATAGAATCAGTTGATAAGAGTTGATTGATAAGAGACAATTTGTGTTGATGATCAAATGTATTTCCATTGATGGAAAGATTGAATTCCCCCTTTCCCCCACTAAAATTTCTTTTATACTCAGTCTTATTGCACATTCTTTTTTTTCACAATAGTATACACTAATGTGTTTCTAAAGGTTAATACTCGATATCACGATGTTTACCTGAAACAGTACTTGAACACTCCTTGGAGTTCTTCGAGAGTGACCGCCTGTTCGATGTCGCTGACTAGATCAATGTTGTCGAGCATTTTGTCGTTGATATTTCTCAGGTTTTGGTTGCTCATTGATTGGACACCGGTCAATGACATATTATTATTATCGCTGCTAATAGGATTCTCTGTTGGGAAAAATAAAACAAAAACGGTTAACAATACTGTGGGGTTATCAAATACATCATTTCCAAATAAAAAGTATTTACTATACGCCAATATAACGCCTAATCATTATTGTATTTAAAGAACAAATAAATTTTTGAAAAATTCACAAAATTAAGGGAGTGGAAAAAACATAAATTTCGAATTTTCAAGGGTTTATCTTTAAAGATCGTCACAAGCATTATCCAAATTTTTACAGCTGTTCACACCTAAGCCAAACTGTCGAAAATATTTTACACAGTTACATTTATAACAACAGGTGGCATACACTCCAAAAAAAAAGAAGAAGCTGTGTACAAATATAATTTTAGGATAAATGAGAAGATGGCGACCTCCATCCGAAAATCATTATTTACATTAAGTTTCCTCTCTGATCTCTAAACTACTTTGTGTGACAACCGACCAAGTCGGTCAACGCGACCATTCATTGTAACATAATTTTATCAAAAACGACAATAGTTTGCACACCAAAATAGTAATAAGCGTGACGAGCATTTGTTTGGTCATAGAAAAGTTCCGGGTTCGAAAATATGATCCAAGATAATATTATATTGGAACGTTTCAATAATTTGTTTTCCGCATAATTCCATAATATATTATCTATGCTATATATTATAATAACTTTTTTCCTAAGAAAATTACCCTGTCGTTGTCACGAGGAAGAAACGACGGCGTATACGCGTTATTAGTTTTTCTATTTTACCGAGATAACAAGACGGTTATAGTTAAGGTCAAGACTAATACAAAAAAAAAAATAATAATAATAATAATGAAAAATTATACGGCGCATATTACTAAATATAGTAAGTCCCCGACGGCATGAGGTGAGAGAGTAGGTAAACCACACAATAATTATTATTATTCGTAAATATTGTCTTTGTCAATCATATTTGCTTTTTACCACACCAATTCGTAATGTATTCCACTGACAGCTACCTTGAAATTACATCATAATGATAATAATATTAATACGTAATATAATAAAATAACACGAGCCACACGGTTTTTGTTTTTTACATAAACCCGACGTTTCCATTTGAAAATTATAATAATAATATACACTATGGCCACGGACCATTATTGTACACAATAATATTACATTAGATTGGGAGAACAAGACGGTATTTGGTTATGAAAAAAATAAATTATATTATATACATATTTTTGTGTTAAAGGACGTTTGTTCTGACACTGACCCGACCGTTTATTTATCCCGGAAAGCGAGTCTTAACAAACTGGTCCGCGCGGCCTTCGTCGACGCTGTACACGGATCGGACCGGCTGTATGATAGTATTATGTTATATTGCTGCGAATGCAATATATTTCTTTTATTATCCTACACGTGATGAACACACGGTCGGCTTTGAACACAGTGACAGGTGCTGATGCGTGTTGGAAAAAAAAAAAAAGATTGTATTCGATTTACAAGTTCCACGGTTGCGCAGTCGAGTTTTATTGTATAAAGCGCTAATAGCGGAAACAACGAGAGAGCAAAAAATATTAGCCGATTGAGAATTACAAACAGCAGCACTGCCCGACAGAAAATATTCGGAAGGCCGATTTCTCTTGTATCTTGGTGCAAAACAAAATAGCATACATAGGGCTGGCAAAGGGTTCAGAGGGTTGCAAGTTCAACAGTCTAAACCAAGACGCGCTCTGTGTGGAATACAGAATATCGATGTAGCTGTATTGTCACCGAGCCATCGTTATTGTGATATATCATGTCACGGCCAAGGAACGACCGACCGGTGTTCAGGTTGGAACCAAAAATAAAACCGAGAGACGTCTAAGGCCCTTTGACTCGCACGTCGGATCCGCGTTTTGGCACCAAACCCGCATTTCGTTTTGGACGGAGAATAGCTATCTACACTTGTACAAACGAGGTGCACTTGTCCACAGACGTAGATCTCCTTAAGAACAAACCGAGGGGTCAAGTTTGCGATACCGTTGAAACGATAAAATGGCAAGTTGGTATAAATTGGACAGTCTCGAAAGATTTTCAAACGGAATGATTCGGTACCAAGTCCGTTTGCGCCATTAGAAGCACTTACGATTGTGTTGGTTATGTTCTTAATAATATTAAAAAAAAAAATGTAAAGGGAACTCGATAGCGCGGTAACACCCAACTGTTACAACCGTCGCGTTTGGTAAATAGAAACAAATTTATGCGTTTCACTAATGAACAACCAGCAATTATATAATATACACACTAGGTATATATAATTTACATTCGAGTCTGTTTTTTTACTAAAACTAATTATTTGCAACGCTTCCACGTGTCGAGAAACGTCAATCAATGGAATTAGCTACTTGTGTTGTCATACAACTAGGCTACCTTGTGTGGTTAAAGAACTAGTTTTCATGCAACGACAAAACACGTATAGTACCGTTGGCTGTCTTGTGCGAACAATTTTTACTAGGTACCACAATCGAAATATTATTGAAAAAAAATTAAACAAATGCAAGAGGTACAAGTTATCGACCTTATCGACCTTGATGACGTAGGTACGGACAGAGAAAAACGAAATCTCTGTACTATACAGGGGTATACTATACTATACTTTTGTATTGAGATCTTTTTGAAACGGTCGAGGTGGTAAGGTTTGTAAATTTTGTATTTTGAAAAGGGCCCTTGCGTTCTCATCCATTGTGGGATATGATTCTAAAATTATCACTGTCATTGCGCGAGAATCTAATTAATTCCGCCTAGTGTTGTTTCTATAAACACATAATATAGTTAAACAGGTATTAATTAATTTTCTTTTGTGTTCAAACAAGTTCTTGTTTCAATGAATTCAACAGTGTTATGCAACTATAATGATAATATGCGCTTTTGACATAGAGTCGACTAGAACCGTTCAAAAAAAGCCTTGAACGACCAATGTAGTGGTTTCTACGAACACTAATTGACAGGTCAATATCGCTTTGCTGTCGGTTTCCGGTTGCATTTCGTTAATAACAATACATGGGTACATCGTGTAACGAAACGTTTAATAAACCCCAAGTCCGGTGAACTTAATTAATGTATTAAAAAAAAAAAACTCACAAAATATTCGAAAAATCCATTTGTTCAATAATAAAAACAAGTTTCTTGACAAAACATTGTAATGGGTTTTTTTCTTTAAAATTTTAGTTACATAGTTTCCCCTCGAGAGTTTGAAATTTCCTGTTTCCCTATGTAATCATATTGTTTCCATAATGACGACCTTGTCGACTTTCCTCCAGATAAAGGTGTTTAAACTGACTCAACGCGGGTAATTACAGCATTCTGTAAATATTTCCTGATTTCTATAATACGGAACAAAATATAAACGTGGCCGTATTCCCTCTCTCTTTTCACGGTTCCGATGCTGTTGTTGGCAGTGTATCCAGACGAAAAGTATTCCAGACATCGTAGTCGAGAGAGCTTCTTTATGTGCTGCATCATGGTCGTAAACACAGCATTACTCGAGAGTCGTGACCTTTCGGCGGTGTCCAAGTCAATGCTAAGGTCAGGCCAAAGCCAAACTTCTTAAAAAATAATAATAACTTGTGGTCTTTACGACGTTTCCGTTTTTTCGTTGTGAGATTTACAGTAACACTTAAGTCGAGGCTTGTAATTTTGGAATCGACCGACTACGTTTTTAAAAACTTATAGACTGCTTAAGGTACCCGAATAGCTTTGCTTGATGTTCAATTTGCGCCGCTGTAATGGCCAACTTGTAGGACTTTTAGTCTTATCACTCTTTTGCAATTCTATGGTGTTGATGATTTTCGGTGTATTTGCTTATCGACTGATGGCACACAATATTAATACCGATTCGACGGCTACGGTTTTAATCGTTACATAGTAATCATTTATATTTCATTATGAATTACGCGGTTATGTTTTCCAAACAACCTTGTCTTGACGAATGCGCAAAAAAAAAACAAAAATAATAATAAACAAAACCGTTTACAGTATGAAAACAACACAAATATTGCCTGACGTATCGAAACGAGCGTGGTCGGGGTTCTGGTTTGAAATTATTATATTACTACACCTACTATTTATATCATTATTATTGTATTGGGTTAACCCGGGAGTAAAATATAATGTTATGGAAAAAAACCACTCATGTTCGAGCAAGGTCGCGTAGTGTTTACATTTTATTTTCATACATGCATTTTGCTGGACGTCCACACGTGCGACATAAATATTATTATCCATGTATATAAAAATGAGTGTACCTATGTATGTCCTTTATAGACGTTGAAACGGTTTCGCTTTTTTTTTCAAACTTGGCACGAATATGATTTGAATTCTGGAAAGTGTACGCGTAGTAGGGCGGAAATCTCCTTCCGGTGCCCTGGAACCCACCAGAATCAAAAAAGTGTCCCAAAAATGAGAAAAATCGAGATGAGGCTCCAATTAAACAGTAAATCAGGGATTTCCTAATTGATTTAGTATTTTGAAGGCGAAAGGGATATGGTAAGAATTGAAAGGGAACGAGGAGGAGTGGACGACGATAAAAGGTATTCGATAATCCCCGGATAACTGTTATAAGATATTTATTATTATAATTATTCAATACTGATGTGTTGCAATTGTTGTTATCCATCCAGCTGGCTAGTTATTATAATACATAGATTATAGTGTCTATTTTTTGCCAATAAAAAAAAAACAATATTTTTACGAGCGATATCGTCACTATAAAACCTAGTTTTGACATAATATAAAACGTTATCAGAATAATAATATAATGAAATATTGTCAATTGTGTGTACACCGAGGAAGTCTGTTTTTAGTTTTAATTATAAGATACCAGTTTCATCGTTTCAATATGGTCGTGACATAATTTTATTGTCTTCCAGGAGTCGACAGAACGAGTTGTGCGAGTCTTTGCCCTGGTACGATCTTGACGAAACGTCTCTTGCTGCTGTTGGCAATTAGAGAATGTTACAAAGAAATCCAGTTTTTTTTTTTTATGAATTTACGGAATCT